CTCTGAATCGCCTCACTCTGTATTTCCAGGCGCCCGAAGTTCCTTGCTTGGCAGGCACTACTGCTGAGTATCGCCCCGGTACCCCTCGCAACATCGCTCCGTCACGCCCGCGTGTCGCCAGCTACAGTGTTCAAGGGATACGCAAGCAGCGGTTGTGCATCCTGCTCTGCACATCCAAAACGGGGCTATAAGGACCACTCTGGACTGCCTGGAATCCATTGCAGCAGCAACAGTCACGGCGGAATGTGCACGCTCTGAATCGCCTCACTCTGTATTTCCAGGCGCCCGAAGTTCCTTGCTTGGCAGGCACTACTGCTGAGTATCGCCCTGGTACCCCTCACAACATCGCTCCGTCACGCCCGCGTGTCGCCAGCTACAGTGTTCAAGGGATACGCAAGCAGCGGTTGCGCATCCTGCTCTGCACATCCAAAACGGGGCTATAAGGACCACTCTGGACTGCTTGGAATCCATTGCAGCAGCAGCAGTCACGGCGGAATGTGCACGCTCTGAATCGCCTCACTCTGTATTTCCAGGCGCCCGAAGTTCCTTGCTTGGCAGGCACTACTGCTGAGTATCGCCCTGGTACCCCTCGCAACATCGCTCCGTCACGCCCGCGTGTCGCCAGCTACAGTGTTCAAGGGATACGCAAGCAGCGGTTGCGCATCCTGCTCTGCACATCCAAAACGGGGCTATAAGGACCACTCTGGACTGCCTGGAATCCATTGCAGCAGCAGCAGCAGCAGCAGCAGCAGTCACGGCGGAATGTGCACGCTCTGAATCGCCTCACTCTGTATTTCCAGGTTGGTGTGCGAATTTTATGTAACTATTCTGTGCTGTAAAAATTACCGTGACTGCTGCTCAACGCTGCTTTTGACCTGTATACAATGCCTACCTGTGCTGAACTTGCTAAAAAAATTGAAGCGCTTGAATCTGCGTTTAAAGAGCAATTAGAAACTGCAGTTAAAGAGTTCAAGGCGGAGGCTAGGAAAACACTGGATGACAAAGGCCTTGAAGAGCATGCAAAACTATGCGAGAGCGTTAAGTTCCTCAGTGCTCAGTACGATAACATGTGTGTGAAGCAGAATGCGCTCATTGCAGAAAATAAAGCGCTAAGGGCCCATAACGAGTCTCTTGAAACCCGCTTGGCTGAACTTGAGCAATATTCTCGACAAAACAGTATAGAAATTAAAGGTGTACCAACGACTAAAGGCGAGGACTGTACTGCCATTCTAAAGCGCATGGGCGATGCAATAGGATGTACTGTAACACCTGCTGACATAGACACAGTGCATCGTGTTCCCACGAAATCAGCAGTGAACAACATCATTGCTCGGTTTTGCAGTCGTGACAAAAAAAAATGACTTCATCCGCAAAGTTCGCAAGGCTCGGCTTCGCACCGGCAGCATTGGCTTTTCGGAATCTTCTGACCAGGCTATTTATACGAATGACCACCTTACTGCTGAGAATAAGAAGCTATTTTCTAGGGCAGTGGCTCTCAAGAAAGAGCACCAGTGGAAATTTCTCTGGACCGAGAACTGTCGCATTCTAGCACGCAAGTCTGAAGATACCAGGGTCTTTCGAATAAATACCGCCTCTGACCTTTCGATTTTCATTTAAACGACGCCTTACATATTCTGTATCGACCACTAAGTTTTTCTTTTTTTTATGTCTTCGATTACCGTTAGCAACCTCAAACAATCGCTTACGTTACAGAAATATTCGCTAATTCATTTTAATGCTCACAGCATCCAAAAGAACTATGACGCGATTACCACTTTTTTTTCTCTACTGCACCACCAGTTTTCGTTTATCTGCCTTTCGGAAACGTGGTTGTGCGACGCAGACCGTAACATGTATTCTTTTCCACAGTATCAGGCAGAGTATTGTCACCGATCCTATGACGCGCATGGTGGGGCTGCAATTTTTGTTTCCAGTGGGGTTTCGTACACGCTCAGGTTTGATCTGTCTTTCACCGTACCACTGTGCGAATCTGTGTGGATCGAATGTGGCACGTCACCCCTAAACAACGGAAAAAATTAATCATTGGCAGTGTGTATCGCTCTTCTTCATTTCCTGTTCTAGAATTTCTGTCAAATTTTGATAGATTACTTCACAAGCTATCTTTTGAGAATAAGCAAGTTGTACTGGTAGGGGACATCAACATAAACTTACTAGATATGGAATCCAGTGTCTACTTGGCTTACACGAACTGCTTCAGTGGCTTCGGCTACGAATCACTTATCACTGCTCCAACAAGATGTGGCCACCAGGGTTCCCAATCTCTTTTAGATCATGTCTTATGCAATTTTTCTCCCGCCCCCGAGGCTGGCGTGGTTGACACATACATTACAGATCACTTCCCCGTTTACATAACATTTTATTGCTAGGCGCTCCAGTGCCGATAGCTGTTTTTACACATCTGTGCTGGATCATGACAAGTTTATCGATGCTATAGCTACAACTGACTGGTCACTTCTTAAGTCCGATATTCTTGATAATTCCTGCTCTGACGTAGAGGCTATGCTACAGAAATTCTGTGCTTTATTTTTAAAGGCCGTAACATCTAGTACATCAACTGTTAAATGCAAAAAACGGTATAAATTTCCCCACAATCCATGGATGACAAACGGCTTATTGACAAGTGTTCGTAAAAAAGATAACCTTTACAAAAAAAAACAAAAAGACAGCCTTTTAATACTTCGCTTGCCCGCCGATACAGGAAATATTGCAACAATTTGAAAATTTTACTCTGAGAAGCAAAAAAGCGTTATTATGAAAATGAGTTGACCAAACATCAGGGGGACCCTAAAATACAATGGAACCTTTTGAACAACTTTTTAAACGAATCATCTGGAAACTCACCTATATCTGAAATCATATATAATAATATTTCTTTGCAATAGCCAACTTCTATTGCAAATGCTTTCAGCGATTTTTTTTCTAGCATTCCTACTACACAATCGGGCATACCAAAATGTTCCGTTTCTCGGGTCGCTTCTTCATTTTTTCTTTTGCCCGTAACCGCTGACGAAGTATGCTCAGTTCTCTTGAATCTAAAAAATGAATGCGCAGGTCTTGACAATATTTCTGCGTATCACTTAAAACTGGTTGCGCGTAATATTTCTGGGATACTTAGTGATATCATTAATCTAATGTTTCAGCAAGGCGTATTTCCTAAACTTTTAAAGAAATCTAAAATAGTTCCGGTATTCAAAAAGGGTGACAAAAGAACAGTTTCTAATTATCGGCCCATATAAATTCTTTCTTCCCTCAGCAAAGTTATTGAAAAACTGTTCGTAAGTAATTACCTAAGCAAATTTCATATACTTCATCCGTGTCAATTTGGCTTTCGTTCAGGCAGTTCGACAAGCTTAGCACTAGTTTCATTATTAGATTACTTAAAAAAATCGATTGACTCTGGTAAATTTGTTGGATCTGTCTTCCTAGATTTCACCAAGGCCTTTGACACCATTAATCATGCCACCCTGTTTAACGAATTGGAGGCCTATGGGGTAACTGGAGCTCCATTAACCTTCCTGAAAATTATCTGCACAATAGAGAATGCTCGGTGTATGTATCAGGCGCTTCTTCTGAAACTAAGCTAATCAATCAAGGCGTGCCCCAGGGGTCTATTTTGGGCCCTTTATTATTTATTATTTATATTAATGATCTTGTCGATGCAATTAAATCAACTCACTGCGTGTTATACGCAGACGACATGACTATAACTGCAGCTGAGGACTCTCTAACTGCTCTTACTTTACACTTGAATAACACACTTCTAGATATTACTAAATGGTGCTACGAGAACCAACTTATTATTAACCCAGCCAAAACCAAGTTTATGATATTTAGGTCCGCTCAAAGGCCATTGCCTTTTCATCAACCCTTAATTCTAGGTCCTCACTCTATACCCACCTGTGATACTGTAATTTTTCTTGGTGTACATCTTGACTGCCATTTAAAGTTTAATCTCCACACTGATCACCTCAGAAAGAAAACTGCATTCGGAATTCGGGCTATAATAAAAGCTCGTGAAGTTTTTCATATAAACGTACTTATGTCTCTGTATTTCGCCTTCATTCATTCCCATATCATGTATGGTATCGCTGCTTGGGGAAACACGTATGACTGTCATCTATCACCCATTCAGAACATACAAAATCAGGCGATCCGCATTATCACTAATAGCTCACGATACTCCAGTGCAGGCCATCTACTCCAAGACAACAAAATCCTACCTGTTCGTAAGTTATTTTTTTATAGCATAGCCGTTCTTCTGTTTCAATTGCGCAATGCACTGCTACCCTTTGAGTTCATTCATTCAGTTTTCTTACAAAACAACAATGTAACCAGATTTGCAATGAACCTTAACTTTTTGCTACCCGCGTCGCGCACAAATTATGGAAAAATGACCACTGCCTTTGCGGCCATTACTTTTAGGAATAACATGCCTCTTTCTGTTAAAACGATGCCCACATTGTCATCATTCAAAAAGTCGCTTAAAAGTTTTCTGTTAAATTATTAGCTGCCTGTATATGGGCTTTTTGGGGGCTTTGCGTTTTTGGTTATGCCATTTAGATCATTGCATTTCGATTGACAATGTCCGCCACTTAACGAGATGTTTTTTTCCCGTTCTTTCTTTTTTCTTTCCTTATTTGCCTTGCTTTTTGTTGCCTGATGTGTCACTTAGCCTATAATAATTACTTATCACTCTATATTGTATAATTGATTTCCACTCACTCGTTGCTTGTTAACTTGATCTGATTTATTGATTGTTATAATGCATCGAGGGTCCCGTTACAGTTTTTAACTTTGGGACCCTCGTCTGTATATTAATATTACTGTGCTACTTTTTTGAAATGAATAATAAACTGAAACTGAAACTGAAACTGCTTCAGTACTGCCTGACAATTGCCTTCTTCCTGTAGCTTTGTCTATCAAGTTATCGCCCAGAAAGTTCTGAACGTTCGCGCTGTCCTTGCGGACAACACGACATCATGCTGAGCGTCCGCAGCAAAGCAAGTGGAGCCTGCGAAGTTAGTCGAGCCAGGAACCAAGACAGGTCGAGTGCAACGATAGAAGATCTACGAATGAAGGTACAGGAGCTGAAGCATGAGCTTCTAGCCTTCAAGAACTTGAAACGTTTGGTAGGCGAAGACAGCACAGAGCAATATAACGACATTATGTACGAGAACAGCGCGCTCAAGACACTCAACGAATATTACCGGTTCCGTTACAAGACTCTCCGAGAAGATGCTGACCGCCTCACTGTGACAAAGACGCAACTCCTAACAGAAAAAACAACTTGGGAGTTCATGTGCTGTGGGGACTTTGACACCGGCGATGGCGTCAAGGCCCTCATCAAGGGATACGTCAAGGAAGTTGAAGAGATAAAAGCCAAGCTCATCGCCTCCGAGGAAGTATGTGCCCAGCTTCGAAATCAGCTCAAGAGGTACGAGGCACGCACCAGCATGGGTCCCAACTCGGCTGTGGCAGTGAGTGGAATATGCGACCTCAGCTGCAGCGTCGACGTGACAATCGCGACAGTCGTGCTTCCCGGGGCAAAGCGCAACACGAAGCCGTTACCACCCAAAGGCAATTATGAGGACGAGAACAGGGAAAAAATGAAGGACGCTGACGTAGAGACAGATAAAAACATCGGACTCGAAGGCTCAGACTCTGAAGCAGAGTTGTTGAAGGGTGACGAACAAACCTTCAGGGACCTGGCCACAGGCACTAGATATGCCTTCATTGAGCAGAAGATGATAGGCGAAATCAAAAAGTGTCAGTGCCGTAAAGAAGTTATGCGCCAGCAGTATGTAAAAAGGCTCATACACCTGCAGCAAAAGAAAACAGAAATAGAGATAGAGAAAAACTTGATTGTCTCAAAAATGAGCCCTGCGCGTGCATCGAAAAACATGGACGAGAAAGTACGCAAGATCGAAAGAGACTTTGAGCAGAAGCTGAAACATTTTCACGGCGAGCTCAAAAAGATGTGTTCTGTCACGCGTGAGCATGCCATGCTCACGAAGAAGCAGACCGAGTACAGGCGACAGGCCTACAAGCTAAAACAAGAACTGGAGGACATGAAGAAAAGCAAGGAAGCTCTTGTCAGCAAGATGAAAGAAGAAAGTAGGCGCCATCAGGAGGCCGGGAAGCGATGCAACCAGCAGATGGCGCAGATTCTCAAGAAGAGCCGTTGGCAGGATGACCGTATCCGCTCCCTCGAAGCCCAGGACCGAGCTTTGGAAACTTCCCTCAAGCGGCTCCACGAGGAGAGAGTCGCCCTTGAAAGACAGGCACGAGCCTCATCGCAGGGCTTTGCGGTTCGTGTTCCCAAACAGAATCCAGCTCCCCGAAAAGGTCTGATTTCTCCTAAAGTGGCCAAGAAGAGCTGGCAGACAATTGAAAAGCACATTAACCAACTGGTTTTGACCAAGCAGAGTGTCTACACCTTGCAAAGGGATATGGAGCGATCACTTTCCGAACGGGAGAAGCTGACGCTCTGCCTGGAAAGAACAATGCGGAAACGAGAGCGAGTGGTTCAAGCTGGGAAGGACACCCGCAACCTGGACAGCGAGGTAGCGAGCATCAAAGCAAATCTGAATTACCAGAACGAGAATATTAGGGAATGCCAGGTCAATCTCCTCCAAGTAGAGAAGAAGATAGACGGCAGAGACTGCCCGCAACTGGACGCTGTTCTAGAAGGCTTGGTGGACACCCAGGGCCGCTACCTGCTCGAAAAGCTGCTGCACAAGGTGATAAACCACAGCCTGCAAGCAGCACTGAACAAAAGCAAGGTAGAAGAGCTGAAAGCCAGACTTGAACTAGTTGAGGCTCGCAAACGATGCCAGAAAACAAAACCTGTTGCAGCACACCAAGAAGCAGGTGCAAGTGAAACCCTCGCAATCGCCACGCTGGTCGGAGGAGCCGGAGAGCGCGACCAGCTAAAGTCATCATCACTTACGGACAAGTCATCAGATTATGAGTCGCAACGCATTCCATGAAAAACGAAATAAAACAAAAACTGCCCAGCACAACAGTTACGATGCTCGCCTTTGATACTGTGAATTATTTCTCGCCGCAGAAAGAGTGTTCTTTTCGTCCAGAATGTGTGTTTTTTACCACTGCCTCCTTCTCTGTACTCGTTGTCTCGCTCACCAATGTTAGTGCATACCGCGCCTGGTAAAGCGATGCACGTTTTTTTCGGGATCGAAGGAAAAGAAGAAAGCGTGGAAAGCGGGTGCCAAACATGATGAAAAGTTTCAATGACGCACGGCTAACATTTAGTATACCAGGTTTTCTGTAAGCAGCTGTTCCCTTCGCTGTGGTCAGTCTCATCATAGGCGTGCGCATGGGGCGGGGGGAAAGGGGGCAACAAAGTCAGCCCCGCACGATAACATATAAAGGCAGGGTGGTGCGAAGACAACTTCATACATTGACTTTGGAGTGTGGGAGGGGGCGCAACGACAAACCTTCGCTCCCCCCTGCAAGGCAACCCTGTGCAAGCCTGTGATTGTGGCCCCAGTGGCTGATGTATCACTAGATCTACTGATTTTTAAAATTTCCGCTGACTGAGTGACAAGGTGTCGCAACCGACCAACCATCTGTATTTTCTGCAGAAACGTTCGCAAAAGGTGGTACTTTTTCAGCGTCCAGATTGCTTTGATGTGTTGGAGTAAAGAAGCAAAACCATGAGCTCACTCAAGCGACCCCGCAAGTAATAACTGATAATGCGTGAGCGAGTGTATTTTCCATATGAACAGCTTGGGCAACAGTGAAAGCTGTTATTAGATCACAACTCGGTTCACGCGCGGTTGTCCGGTGCCACGCCGGTGTCCGTAACCACATCAAGCGAAACTAAAAAAAAAACCGACTACCAATGGTCCAGTGGGGCTCCAAAACGGGTAAGCTGGGTGCCAGATGGGTATTGTAGAACAGAGCTACCCCTGGGCTTGGGACTTGCTGGCAAACTTGCCTTAGGCAGGCTTGATGTCGGAAAGCGTTTTAAAAACAGCGAAA